ATTTTTGCGATACAAATTTCTTAATATAATTTTCATCATTTTATTAGAAAATTTTATATGAAATATGAAATAAAAAAAATTTCGAAATTTTACATCCGAAAAAGTCATATCCCATGTAAATTTTCGGATACAAAATTTTACCGGGTATGATTTTTTTGGACGTAAATTTTCGATTGTAAAATTTCTCCAAATTTCTTTGCAAGTTCGATTTTGCCTCCTTAACTTTAAAGCTCTGCATCCGCCCTTGCCTGACTGTTGCGTTTAGTCCATTTATTCTTACTTAACAGTTAACACAATAACACTTACATTGTTTACTACAAGTTTTTCTTCTAGAAATTTCAGAACATGGGTGCACTCTAATTATCTTGAAAACGCATTAGAAATATGCAAAAGATATAATCAAAAAGAAATTATTGTCTCTAAAATTGTAAATACCACTTCTTAGAAGTAAGATGGCACTGAATGCAGTAGCATGTTACTGAAAACTAATAAAAATTGTGTCATAAGCTAACATTTCATAGCCAACTGCCTCAATATTCACTTTTCAGCGGGCATCACGAATTAGAAATATGCCTTCTATTTGTTTCAGCCAATCTTTATTTTTGTCAATTGATGACAAAGTCTGGGAAAAGAATTACTAACATTGTTTTCCCAACTGACCTGCCCCACAATGCCCATAACGTTGATTCAAGCTTAATCTAATACACTGCTTGCTTTATGACACATAAATATAGAACTTAGATTTATGAAGATTCAGAAATTAGTTCATAAATATACAACACTTTTGCATCTTCAGGGGAATGGATGAGACAATGCATGAAGAATACATAGTCCGTCACATATTTTTTGAGGACTGCCTGTGTTGTAGTGCTCATATGCAATCAGGTTTTGATACAACGATTCTGTTGAATCAGAAATTTCCCATTTTGAAAGCTTCATAGCTTTATTTTCGAATTCAATATGAAAAAAAAATCAGATTCTGACTTTTGGAAGGAAATCCCTACCTTCTCGAGCTCTACAACTGAATCTATACTCGCTATGTAATCAGGATCTCCAGAATCCATATGATATAGAAAAATGTTATTCATCTCCAGTCTATGTGGATGTAAATGATTGGTTAAATAATAGATGAAATTAAATGACTTATTTAATTTCGCCTATCATTTAATACCACATTAATGCTACATAGACTGGAGATGCATCCTCACTGGGGATGAATAGCATTTCTCTATGAGATAATATTTTTGCAAATGATGAACATTGGATGCCGTGTACAATGTCAAGAAGATGGTGACCATTAATAGGGACTTCACTGGGAAAACGCCACTTTGTAATAAAGGCCATATTAGAGAATCGATGTTGTCTTCCATTATTGATCTTGATCATGTTGAACAGACGATGATGAAAAATGGAATCTGATTCTCAGATACCATTAGATCATGACGCGAATGGCTTTGTATATAATTAATTTA